ACAAAAAACTGACGAGTAGATAATTTTGGAAGCATTAGGTAGGATGACTGCTAATTAAGGATATTATGTTACTGTAAGATTTTGGTGCATTTTGCATCAAGGTTTTATCTTGAAGTGCTCTGAAGAGAGCACTTAAATGTGATGTTTCTTCCTGAGTTTTGTTAATCTGTTATACAACCTCATTATTTTCTTAAAATCATTGCTTATGATCACTTATTGAATCTGTCCTCTCGGTTTGCCAAGCATTTTCTTCGTTTTGAGTGCATTTCAGTTTGGCAGCCTTGGTATAAAGAACTTCAGGGTATAAAGAAGCTTATTGTCTCTGTTGGCAAACGTTTGGCTCTAGAATCAGTTTGTCACTGGAGCTGTGGGCATGGCTGCTCAAGTGGTGCTTCTGTTGAGCTAGCAGGGAAATGTAAAGATATTTGTTACTCCTGCTAACCCAGGCTCCTTCCTCACTGCTTTTTACAGTGAGCCTGTAGGGGCTGGCACAGGATGACCCTTCTGACACAGAGTTGTAGGACATTTTCCAAAACTCTAAGAAACAATGGCCATAAATTCCATGTTTGTATCTCTGCTGGCAGTGTGGAAAGGCTTCTCCTGAAGGACAACTCCCTGTCAGATGCCGGCCTGCGCAGGATGACAGCGCCCGTCCGCGTGCTGAAAAAGGGGCTTGAGAATCTGCTGGTGCTGGACTTGTCCTGTAAGTGCTGCATGGTCCCATGACACAAAGATCCTGTGTCCTTTCTGATAAAGAATTTACCCTCCTTAGCACTGAAGGAATATGATTAATTTGTTGATTCCCATGAGCCAAGTGCTCAACCCCAGATCTCACCAGCAGCCTCCCAGAACGCACAGGGCAGACCTGAGGTCTCAGGCATTTGCTACTCACATAAATACTTTTAGTAGTTTGAGAATTGGTATTGTAAATATTTGTATTTTGATAATTAGACCGGCAAAGTCAGTTTTGTCCCAGTATTAGCTTTTGGAACAAATACTTCCATGGTATTTTAATAATCTTTTTCCACATCATGAAGCCTACTTGATTTTATGTGGCCTTACAGGTAACCCTAAAATCACAGATGTGGGAATTGGATACCTTCTTTCTTTCAAGAAACTGAATTGTTTGGACATTTCTGGGACAGGTCTCAAGGTAAAAATCATCTGAAAAAGTTTACTGGACAAGTGTAATAAAAATTCTTGCCTTCTGACTACTTTATTTCCCTTTTTGCCCAGGATGTTGATGCTGTCATAAAGCGGCTTCAAATGCAGATAGGCCTGGTTCACTCAAAAGTGCCTCTGAAAGAATTTGATCACAGTAACTGCAAAACAGAGGGATGGGCAGAGCAGGTAAGGAGGGGTTAAACCTGCTGTACTCTCTAAAAATTTGTCTTCTAGAATACAAAATCGCTGAATAGGAAAGAACAAGGGATGGAGCTGTTTCCAATGATATCTCTGTAAATTTTACAAGACACATTTTAACTGCTTCATCTGCTCTTTCAGACAGTTCTGCAGTGGGAGCAGGCAGTTACGGAGGCCATGAAGCCCCAGGACAACTTGAGATCCAGAGTAGCAGCTCTTCGCTTCTGTACGTAACTGCATGGACACCACAGGGCTGATTTATTTTCTTTTCTACAGGGACTATTCCCATACTCTTTTGGGTTATGGTACAAATAGCATCTCAGGTGTGCAATTTCAGCCCTTTGTGTAACTTCATTACAATGTACTTGAGTTTTTTTCGTTTGTAAGACTCCTGGATAATTCAAGTACAGCACATAGACAACAACTGAGTTTTTTCCTTAAAATTCTGAGTCCAAAATATAAATGGTATTTTTTTCTCTGCACATTTCCAAGCTGGCTTGGTGAAAACAATTTGTACCACAAAGTTATGCATTTTAAAGCATAATTCTCTTTTTCCGAAAATCTAAACTTGATTTTTTTTTTTTTTGCTTGTAGACGGCAAGACACGCAGAATAGAGGAAGTAGTCAAATGCACACTGGTCGAGCCAGAAACTAAAGCATCTGGAAACTTGCAGTTTTATAAGGAAAACGTTGAAAATTGCCATTTACCTTTGAAAAAGGAGGTTGCAGGCAGCCATGAATTAAAGAACAATAAAAAAAGAGCTTTGGCTGAACAAGAGAGAGAAAGGACTTCCAAACAGAAGCATCTGTGCCTCACTGTGGAGGACTGGGATTTGTTAAATACCTACTGAGTCAGAAAGAAGTGGGTCTTTTGTTTGTTGTTCTCTTGCTGATGACAGGATTTGGACATATTGAGAGGGAGTGACAAAGAACTGTTAAATCTGATTGCTGTGACATGCCTGTGTATAACCTGTGCTGGGGGAGAGACAGAGACAAGAAGATTGGTAATGCTACTGTATATTTTCAATACATAATAATTTTTTCAAATAAAGTTTTTGTTGTCATCCTTAACTAACTCTCCTGGTGAAGGTATTTGTCACCAAAACAGCTGGTCCTATCCCTGCTCCTCTCCTGCCTCTCGAGAGGCAGGACACAGATCACTGCAGCTCACCTGAAATGAAGCTGCACTGGGCTTGTCAAGTGCCATGGGATGTTTACAGTGCTGCTGGAGCAGAAACCTCAGCCTGAAAGCACAAGCTGTGCTGATGGGGCTGTGCAGAGGGAGGGAGCACAAAGGATAAGCACAGACCTCTGGGAAGGGAGGCAGAGGCAGTAACACCTCACCAGCAGCCATTGCAGAAGCCCAAAGTGGAACACAAGTCCCCTCTCTTTCTCATTTTAGCCCAGGAAATGAGAGCTGGAATGAGGTTACTGTAGAGATTATGCTCTGCAGTTGTAATATATTCTCCCTTACAAGCAAATTCACTGCATTTCAGATAATTCTGTGGTTTAAAACCCATTTTCAGTGTGCCTTTAATACACTAACTGTGCTTCTCCATCTGGAAACACTGAGGGGCATTTATAATTCAAATATTAATTATGCAGGTCAGCTGTAAATCACCTGGACACTCAGACCTGGTCTGTGTTGGTCTGTGCAGCTGCAATGTGCAGGTAACTGTTAAACATTGAACTCCTGCCCTGAGTCTTTCCATCAAAACTGGCTGAGGTGCACGGGGCTCATCAGTGTCTTCTTAGGCCTCACGAGGCCAAGGATTTTCTACAGCTTTCCCCTACTAGTGCTTCTTCAGAGGGTGTCTTCCTTTTACACTGGTACAGTTTACCATAATTCATCACCAAGAAAAGCAGCATGTCCTTGGAAATCAGGAAGAGGCCAAGAAAATGAACTTCAGCTCAGAAATGCCTAAAGAATAAAACCCCTTTGTTGTCTTTTCCTTACTGCTGAATTTTCCAAAGAAAAGGACTACACACAAACAAAACGGGAACACTTGCACTGAAATCCTACTTTCTTTTCCCAGAAACTCAAAGCTATTAATACCTTCCCCTGACAACTACATCAGCTCTCTTCTGAGACAGATTATGGCACAAATTGTGACTCAAAACAGTGGCTCAGTGGGGAGGAAGATGTGCAGTCTTCCTCCTCAAGCTGCCTCTGGTGCAATTGCCACCATGGAATTTTTGGCCACCCCTTCCACCATTGGAGACATGCACATTTTTTTACCAATCCTAATTTTGCCAAACTCTTTACCTGGGCCCTGTGTTGAGCATGAGGGTTCCTATATATATATTTTTTTTAACAGCTGATTAGTTCAATCCTTACTGCACTGGGATGACATTTGATTGGCACAGGGAAAACAAGCTGTGCACCCTGGTCAGGCCTGGACAGAGACAGGTGAGTAAAAGCAGCTTTAACATTCCCCCATGCAGAGTTTTGCCATCTCGTTCCAGGCAGAGTGTGAGTCACAATACTGTAAAGCTATTTATAAAAAGATCTCTCAGATTTCCAGCTATATCCCAGTGACAAATTAGAAGCAACATTCACCATTGATCTGAGTTACAGTGACAGGCAGAGCTGCAGATCACAGGACTGAGAAGAAATGAGTGAACAGGGGTTTATTTTTAAATATCTGTGACCTGAGGTGGCAGTGGCAAGAAGATCACCTCATGGGTTTTTTTTGGGCCTAGAAAAGTAAGAGTACTCATTGTAAATGTGGGGTTTTCCTCGATGTTTTAGACACAGATGAGATTTTCAAAGGAGCAGAATAAAACCTCATCTTTCTTAAATTTCAGTGTCATGTTTGTACCTATAGCCTGAGGACTGCTTTGAAGGCTTGGCTGCCTGCTTGTGCCCTGCTGGCAGAAGAACAAAACCAGCAGCAAACAGATCCAGAGTCACCCCACACCACCCTGGGAGCAGCACCTGATTATCGGCTGCTCTCTGCTCCAAGGCTGAGACTTCCTTTTCCTTCTTTCTTTGCCAAATTCAGTGAGAGCCACTCCAGCTCCACGGCTGTTCTCAACCTGATGCTGCAAAAACTGCACAGCCCTGGGTGAAGAGCAGGTTATTTACACACTGGTTCCTGCCCTGGGTGTCAGGGACAGCTACTCTGTCCCAGGGACATGACTTGTCCCCCAGACCGTGAAACTTCTCCAGTTTTCCATGCCATTACAGTCTCTGTGCTGGCCTTCATGGTTTGAGAAGAGAGCAGGAGGTAGCCTGAGCAGCATCTCCCCATGGTGTCACTCCCAGCACAGCATTCCCATGGAAGTGTCCCAGGAGCATCAACACAGATCCCTCAAAGTCACCGCTGAAACCACCTACAGATGTGTTCTGAGCCCAGACAGAAGCTTCTCCTCCTGCCAGTGAAGATCAGACTATGAAGGTGTGCTCACCTCACCCCAGCCAGCTCCTGCTCCCCGGGGCAGCTCTCAGCGTGGCTGCCTGCAGAGGCCCCAGGGTGGGCACAGAGGAGGAGCCCCTGGCCCAGGGCTGGGAAGCATCTCCAGCCCAGCATCGAGCCCGTGCTGCCCAGGAAGGAAATGTCACTTTGGCAGCTGTCCCACAGCCAGGGTCCAGCTGAGGGCTGCCACAGGCCTCGGTCCCTGCTCGGTGTCACTGCGCTGCTGGGGAGGATTTGCTGGGGCTGGAGCTTCCCGAGCAGGTGGCAGGGCAGCACCCTGAGGCTCCAGGGTGACCGGGAAGCAGCCTGCCAGGATTCAGGCTGTGCAGACGAACTCGTCGGACCAGTCCAGGCAGTGCTGGGCTCCATCCCGGCACAGCCTCCTGGGGATGCAGGAGCAGAACTGGAAGTGCACGGGGCTGCAGCTCCACCAGCCCGGCCCGCACGGGGGGCAGGCGGCCGCTGGGAAGGACAGAACAGAGGGAACTGAAATGCTTCTGCTGCACTGACCCCCTCCCTCCTTCCTTCCACGGGTAAAATCCTTTCATCCCCCAGCAGAAAAGCTGCTGGTCACAGCCCTGTGACTGTGAGCCCACCAAAGCAGACGCCGGCTTGGTGTTACCTGTCACAACCAGAGTGTGACATTGCAATGACTTCCATGGCAGAGAAGCCAACCTGGGGGGAACAACTAACTGTAATTTCCCCTCCCCCCCCCCTTTTTTTTTGTCCAAAAACCATGGGGATGACTTAGGAGCAAATCTGCTGCTCGTTTTAGCAAGACTCAGCTCCTGCACAGCTTGGAGATCCACCCATCTGCTGACCAGCTACCAAAGGCCAGTTTGAATGGTTACTACTAACTACAGCCACACATCCTGGTGAAACTGCTCCACATCAGCAAGCCACGGAGGAAAAGCCATTTTTGGGACTGGGAACAAAGCATAGAGCCTTTCCTCTCTCAGCTGGCACCAGACTTTGATGCAGAAGCCTGGGCAGCAAGGGGGACTGAGCCTGCATGGTTCACACTCCCACCCCATCCCAGCCATTCTGTGTTTCAGTGGTGGGTGCCAGCCTCCAGGCATTTCCAGCAGCATCCACCAGCACCACACCTGTAGAAGCTGTTGCCACCCATCAGCAGAAAAGCCAGGAGCCAGCAGACAGACTTACAGCCCCACGTCTCGTCAGAGCAGTCCCCGCAGTCGTTCATCCCGTTACACCTCTGGTCAGCATAAACCCAGGATCTGGGGTTGCTGCAGTAGAACACCAGGTATCCTGGGAGGCTGTGGGGCAAGTCACCTGCGAGGGCACACACACAGGACTGCTCAACTCCCCCAGGCACAGACACACTGGCTAAAACAGGGATGGCATCCACCAAAGGCTGCTGCCAGGACACTTCCCCTGCAGTATCAAATGAACATGAGCAACGGGGAAGCTCTGTCGTGGCACACAGGAAGGGTGCCCCAAATTCTGCTTTTTTTAGTTTTTCCCCCAGGGTGACTAAACTAAATTACCCATGTAGGCATACAGCTTCACTGATGGAGGAAAACTACATCATGGTTTAAAAATAAAACCCTAGGAAGATCAGACGAGCTTGGAGTCTTTAATTCCTGGCATTCCTGCCAGGTTTTGGGCAGTGCCACCTCTCAACATCTGCCCTACAAAGACTCTATCAAGCCTATCTGCTCACACAGGCAGCCAGAAGCACAGAGCAGGGTTAGAGGAACCCTGGCTGCTGTCTCACGACTGAAAGACCAGTGCAGGGGAGATGCTCACAACAAAACCACTCACCACAGAGCTGCTCCTGCTCATCCTCTCCGTTCCTGCAGTTGCTGACTCTGTCACAGACCCAGCTGGCTGGGACACAAGTCACACTGTCGTCACACAGGAAGCCTGTCCTGTTATTAGGGGCCGTGCAGAAGCGGTTCACTGAGGGGAAAGCAAGAAAACCTTTATTTTCCAGCATTTTTGTGATACGAGGAATAGATCAAAGGGAGTAAAGGGGGATTTCTGAAATTAACTTTATGTTCTGGAAATAACCAGGGGTCAGGATTAATTTCTGGTAGGTTCATGGCAGAATCTGAAAACCACACCAGTAGTCCTAAGCATGACAGTGCTACCCAGAGTTATGCCAGCCCTACAGAGCAGGACAGCAGAGCCAGGGAATGGCTGGTGGCCATCTGGGCTGAGCAAATCTGGTACAGCTGTGCTCATGCAGCACCATTTCTGCCTCCCTTACTGAAAAAACAGCCACTCTTGGGATACAACCTGGTGCCCGTGGCAGGAGTGCCAGGGCTGCCACCCCCGAGGCCACGGCGGCCACGAGGACGAGCAGCACCACGGCAGAGATGCAGAAGTGTCTCTGTGAGCAGCCAGTGCAGGCACCACATGGATGGCAGCGGCCTGGAGGAGGCAAGAGAGAGAGTGAGGGGCTGAGGAAGGGTCTGGGGTGTTTCAGAGGGGAACAGTGCAGGGACACGAGGCTGAGGTTTTGGGGTTTCTGCACGCAAGGCTGGTGGGGGCTGCTGGGGGTTAGGGCTTGATAGCTGGGTTTAAAGAGCCAAACTCCACCACTAAACACCTCCTCAGAGGGAACTTTGCTGCTTGCAGTGTGGAAGAACTTGTGCTGCTGCTACAGAGCACTGGGGTGGAATGGCACAAACCCCACATCTCCATGGAGCTCATCCCATGGGCTCGGATGCAGAAGGATGAAGGACAAACCCCTGCCCACCCCCGTGGGACAGCAGTGACACTGAACCACACAGGGCAGGTTGGTGTAAGGCTGGGGAAGGTGCCCTCCCAGAGCCCATAACAAAACTCCCCAAGAGGTAAAATTTCATTTTACAGCACTTCAGGCTTTCTGCCCCGAGCAGGACTCACACTCGCATGGAATGAGGCACTCGCATGGAATGAGGCTGGATGATCAGCACAGAACGGTGAGAAGGAACTGAAGAGCTGCCCTTTCCCTCCCTAACAACATCCCCAGGGCACAGCAACCTCCCAGGGACTCCAGCTCTCAGAAAGGCAGGTACATAAATCAAACCAACTGCAGAAACTAAAGGCCAATCCCACAGTCACTGCAACACAATGGTAGCACAGGTGAGCACCTGCCCTCACCTCAGCAACCTGCACCTGCAGCTTTGCCTCCAAACCAACAGGGTGTTTTCCTCCATTCCTTCATATTCCCTGACCAGTAGCAAAAAATATTGGTGTGGTCATCTCAGAAACATGTAACCAGTCACTTAAGACAATCCTGCCTGTACCATTGATTTCGGTATATCTGAACTTTAAAATCTTTAAATAGAATTTTAAAAAGCTTTCAGGAACAGAAAGAACTTTTCAGATAGTATTTGTCTTAGCTGTGCTTTGTGTTTGCTTAGTTGTTTAGTGTTCAAACTCAAGGGAAGGGACAGCCTCTGCTCAACAGCAAAAGGATCCTGATTCCAGCAACCTCCCCCTCTGTCACGCTCAAGCAGGAGCCAAACAGAGAAGATTGCAGCTCAAAAGAGAAATGGTGAATTATAGCATGTCTGTGTCTACAAAATACCTCTGACTACAAAGCACAACAATTACAAACAAACTTGAGTATAAAATAATGGAGGTGATGAAATGTTGCAAGCTGATCTTCAGGCTTGCTACTTGGTTCTGTTTGATCTCACCTCATCCTTCAGAATATGGGCAAAATTTGCTGAAGTTTGGCTATTAAGACATAGGGAAAGGCCACAGCAAACTCATTACAAGCCTTTCTGTGACAGACAAGGATCACCTATGATACCATTACACATATGACTGCCAGCTCCAGGACAACACAGAACACCTGAAGTTTATTAATTTCATAGTCTGGACATTGCACTACATAGAAAGAGGGAAAATCAGTCCAAACAGACTATAAAGAGTGGTTGTAATTTATATTACATTGATAGTTTCCATTGATTTATACTTTAATAATAGAACTCTGCATTTTATTCATTACCTCTTTCTCCAGAGAAGGACTCTGTTGAACCAAAAGTAGCTACATCACTGTTTCTCTAGAAGGAAAGGGATAAAAGGGATTTACAGAATCCCACAGCCACACAAACTTCACCTTTCTAATTTTCACATCTTACCCAGGAATACCTCATGTACTCCATTATTGTTACACACAAGCAAAAATTGCCTCAGTGAAAACATGGCCCACCTTTAATTCCCAAACAATCAATCATATCCCTTTTTAAACCTTAATTACCCATTTGTAAAACAAACACTAACCAAGTCCAGCACTTTATATCAACTCTTTTGTATCAAGGTAGGTAGAAATAACTCAAAATCTCAGAGAAAGCAGTGATAAAGAGGTCAGGCAAACAGCACTGGCTCAAGGACACAAGTACTTCAGGGAGCAGCTGTATGTAGGATTTTTCTGAAGAACTGTACCTGGGGATGAGTTTTGTTCATGCTTCCCAGAGCTCCAAGGACCGCAGGGAGTTCTCTGCACCTGAGCACAAGCGAAGTTACCAGGATACAAATCCAACAGAGGCAGGAGAGCAAGGAGAGCACCTCACAGACAGGAGGGGACTGGCAGGGCAGTGCTGAGCCTCTGCTCAGTGAAAGCCAACAACAAACCTCTCATTCTTCTTGTCTCAAACATGGTTTCGCAACAGGACATTAGGCAGCTCAGAGTAAACAGAGATTTAGGAAGTGAAGCCCTGCTGACAGGTTGGAAGACAAGCACTCACCTCTAGCTCATGCTGACTGCATTTATCCCTGTGGTCATGGAAAACCTCTTCAAAGTAGAGCTTGAGGGAAATGAAAGTCTCATCTTCCTGAAAGTCTCCTTTCTCCACACCTCCTTCCCAAGACAGAGCTGTCACATTGCCCTTGTGGCAGCACCAGCCCAGGCTCCTGCCAGGTGATGAGATCTCAGGAGAGCTGTGCAGGGCACAACCATCTGGAACAGCTTCCTTGCTTGGGCAATGAGCACAGGCACAGGAAATCCTCTAGGCTCCTTTTTTATTTGAGTGCTTGAATTTCCAGGCCTCCAGGAAGGCTTAGCAGCTCAGCCTGCAGCAAACATGAACTGACAAATACATTGGAGCTTTCTAAACCGGCTGCAGGTCTCAGCACAGCTCCCACAGAGAGGAGTTTTACAGCTTCAAGGATGAAATTTCACGAGCAGGCAGCTTTTCCATGGGGATAATGGGGAGAAAAAGCATCAAGTTTTTGAGGAGCCTGGGTTATTCTTGCAAGAGGGTCCACAGGACTCAAGTGCTTCCAAATTGTTGCCACCCCACAGGCCACGACTCCTCCTCAAGCAAGACAGTCCCACCAGGCTGTGGAAAGAGGCTGGCAGCCAGATTGTCTCTGAGCTGGCATTGCCTTGAATTGGCTCAAAGCACCACGTAATGCCTGACAGGGAGGAATAACTGCAGCTCTCCAGCTTCCCTCTCCATCCCCACACATAACCCCACTCCCAATTATCCTGAGTCAATGCACTCCCCATGGCCAGGGCATCTCCAGCCCTGCCCTCACCGACCAGCCAGAGTTAAACACACTCCTGCAGGAGCTCCTCCTTCAGTACAGCAGCATCAATTTGGCCAAAACAGAAGCTTCTGACAGGAATACCTCACTACTAAAGGTGGTGCTAGAAAACTCCTGTTTCAAGAAGGATTTTTGGGTGAAAACATCCAATATCAAGCAGCAAACAGTCTGCAAGTCTGGGCAGCCACTGCAATGTGGAAAAATGTCAGACTAAGCAGATCTTAAGTTCTGGATCTCTTGCTCTTTAAAGAAGAAGTTTTAGTTTCTAATCAGATTTGATACAGGACTATTTTGAGCCTTCATAAAGCTTATTAGGTGATTGGGAGTTTGGTAACAGCCCTGTGTAAGAGCCAGGTAAAGCAAGCCAGCTGTGCATACCCTGCAAAACAATCTACAGTGAAGAGTTTAAAATGTGGAGTCAACCCATCCTTGGAGACAAATGCCTGTAAGAGATGTCCAGAGAAGGGCAACAGAGCTGGGGAAGGCTCTGGAGCACAAGTGTGATGAGAAACAGCTGAGGGGGCTGGGGGGGCTCAGCCTGCAGAAAAGCAGGCTCAGGAGGGACCTTCTCACTCTCTGTAACTCCCTGAAAAGAGGTTGGAGCCAGCTGGGGTCAGGCTCTTTTCCTCCCAATTACCAAGCAACAGGACAAGAGGAAACAGCCTCAAATTGTACCAGACAAGGCTTAGATTGGATAGCAGAAAAAAAATTATTTACTGGAAGAGTTATCAGGCTTTGGATAAGGCTGCCCAGGGCAAGTGTAAGTAACTCCCCTAAAGCCATGTGGCACTTGGGGACATGGTGGTGTTTGCAGTACTAGGGAAATGGTTGGACTCATTCTTGGAGGTC